GAGGAAAATTTCTGTGGTGGGCCCAAGGAAGCGTTCCCACTAGGGAACCTGCTATATACCTTGTGAAGAATGAGGAATGAATGAACTAGCAAGAAGGTGAGTACAAGTAGGAAAACCTAGAAGTGTTGTACCCCATATTATCTACCCCACTATAGCCTACACAAACTATAGCATATGAGTTTGACATAAATAAATAACGAGAGGTTTATGCCATGTGCCAGCTCAAAATTGCATGATGTCGTCTCGCCTTCTGTCGCACATATGTAAGCTAATCAAAGTACAAGTTCGATAGTTCAATCAGAAGGTGTCTTAAGATACATTCTCACAGCGTGTCACAAAAGCCTCGCGTCTCAAACGAAGAGATACAGTGCGGTGGAAATCCTCGATTCTCAGCGGTAATGCGGTGCATAACACTACATGGGTTTTGTGACGAGATCGAGACACAAATGTCCACATGAAAATGTACCCTTAAAAATAATTAACTACACAAAACCTACTGTTGTCAATTAACCAGATGTGATGTAATCAATACATGACTGTGTGAGACATATTTTATTGTCGTGTAGAAATCACCAAAGAACATCGTACAAATATTAGAGATTCATTGGGGTTACAATGTTGAAGCAATGAACTATGTGCAGGAATTTCAACGTAAGTGTCTTTCAGAATTGTATTTGCTATATACATATTTTTGCTTTACAATACTTGACTAATCACACGATGTAGCTGTACATCATGATACGAACCACTCCTGGACAAACGTCAAGTGTTTTTGCCGGGTATCCAAAATTTTCGGAAACCCGACAAACCACGCAGCACCGAGATTTTTTCAGCACATTGAATGCCTATGTTACTGGCTGTTTGCTCAAAAACATTCTTGTAACAATTCCAACCAAAATTTTGGAAACTGCGTGCGATCAAAATCAACTCGGAGTCGGTGGGCGATTAGAAAACATTCTTGCCAGCAAATTGCGGGAACATGATGTCGCCGAACTGTCTGCCAGCAAATTCCTGTCCAACACCCCTAGAGCTGCGATGCTTCTGGCACGTCAATGTCCTCCAAGGGTTTATCCGCTATAACACGACGACGCCGCCTTTGTTCCATCGCGGAAAAGGGAAGTGCGGAAAACAACTCAAAAGTAACAAAACCGCAACGCTAGGGTTACTACGAAAACGTACGAAAAAAGTCAAGGTTCAATACAGTGGGAGCACTAGTTACTACATGAGCAACTTCTGCGTCACTTTTCGGGCGGTTTCTGTATACTGCAAAGTTGGAAACCAGAATATGTATGCAATTACTGGCAGCAACCTCACAGTCACGAGTAAGGATACTCGACAATCAACGTGTGAGTCACATTCCGTCATCACCCCAAAGCTTCGGAAACGCAGCCGAATAGCCCACCTCCGTATGGCAACGCCACGTGGCGAACCAGTTCAGCTCTCGCAGCCATGCAAGCGAATACACCCCCAAGCGAACGGCTACCACACTGAAAGCGCCAAGAATCACGTGTAAACAGCAACCCGGGTTCTACAAGTGTCGCGTCACCATAAACTCGCACAATGAGTTACTCATTCGCGACCTTCACATCGCCATGGTCGCGAACTTCTCCTTCATACATCCCATCCGTCCAACACTGCACACAGGATGCAGTACCCTACAAACACGTTGCGGAAACCGTAACCGTACACGTGTCACCTGCACCAAATCCTACAACCAACCCGCATGCGCCACCAACCACAATTCAAACGCATGTCGACCGCCGATTCTTCGCACCATCGGGCCACATCACCGCGGCATGTGTCACAATCACATTTCATCGTGCAATGCGTAACGTGTATTCGGCACCAGTTCGCAAACATCGCATCCAGAATCACGACATCTCCAGAACCGACCACAGTTGCGCACGTCCACCCAATCACTACAAGCCACAACCGCATACCCGGGACCACTAACATCAACCCGCCATCCCCTACATAAGCCATACCGTGCTCGACAAATGCCCTCCCGCGAGCAACTTTGCCAACCTATCACACGACTCTAAAAGCAAACTAGCTCGTGACGTCCTCCACAATTCCAGTGGATCTGATATTTTTTAAACGGCCACCAATGCGTTTCCAAGGTTCTGGCTCAGCGGCCTTCCAACCGTATGTCGCGGCGTTTGTCACGCCGCGACGTGCGGCGCGCTCCGACTGACCACGACATTTCTGAAAACCAGGCACCATCCACCGCAACAACCATTATTCATGTTTGATTTCCGTTTCAAACCAATAAGACAAAAAAACGCATACCAACATAAATAACCCCATTATATAGTACTAGAAACCGCATACTGCATCTAACAAATACCGCAACCCAGAGTGGAATTCACGTCATCCTAACTAGCTACACCCCGCACACGAGCAAAACACAAACATCAGTGGCCACCCAGACCCTTACTAGCACCCGTCTGGCAAAATATGCGATTCATCCCTGATCCTACTCATCTCCAAAAGACACGGAAACCTCATCGTCCCCCCCGAGATCCTCAGCCTGGGATCCACCTGCCGGCCTCATCCCTTCGAGCCCGCTAATCGAAAGAAGCATGCCATGGCGGCCCCAAATCCATGCGTGACGCTCAGCATCTCATTCGGGATTGAAAACACCGATGGCCCTCTCAACAGCTCCTTTGGCGAGAACCTTGAGGCCATTGACGACGTGGCCGTTGCCACCAGCTGAGTTGGAGAGGCGGCCTTTCCGCTCCTCCCAATACATGACGCTGATCGTGACCTGCATCAACCATGAGTCCACTTCAGCCGGCCCCACATGTAATAAAACCACGACCACAACCAAACCAACAAACTCACCACGTGCTCGAGCCAAGCCAAGTGGTACACGTTCAGCATGAGAGGAACTCCTGGCTTTTTCGGCTTGAAGGCGGCCTTGGCGCACGCAACAAATGCAGCAGATGCAAACGGCATGCCCTGGCGGTCGTTGCTCTAGTTTGAAAGGGCAAGAGTTTCTGCACACCCGCCGATACATCGAACAACAACACGGGCTGGCAGTCAGTGACAACCCAACAGCTCTCACCACACAGCAAGGATCCGTAACCCACCTTCGCCCTCGCGCGCCAGCCCGATGCGGGACCTGATCTTCTCGGCGATGCGCGCCTTCTCCGGGGCCCATGGGCTCGCAGCATCTCGCTCGTCCCGAAACAACCCGAGCTTGGGAAACGCGATATCCCTTACTCTCGCTGCAGCGCGGGTCTTCCACTTGCTCAAAGTCTTGTTCAAATCAGCCTGACGTGACTTTTCTGCAGCCAAAGCCAGACATGCGTAGCTGTAGGGCAGATGGTCCAGAACTGCACACACTCCGTCGGTTTTGTCGTCGCTACTCGGGTAGAACGTCATGGTACAGTACGGCTTGCTCAGAAACAGGTAGACCTTCACAAGGTCGCACATACGCTACACACGACATGTAAAAGTACCAAAACCCCTTAGTGACGACGTACACGAACATCAAGTCCCACACTGCACAACATCACATACATTGCACAATATAAACGTAAAACAAAGCTGCGCATGCCATAAATACCATGACCGTAACCATGCGCCACGCACGCCTCACCTTCCACGCCTTGTCTGCAGGGAGCAGATCCAGTGCGCTTCGCAGCATAGGCGACCGCGATGACCTCATATGGCGCCGGCGCGAATCATCACTCTCGTTGTCCTCGTCGCCATCGGAAGCGGCACTGCGCGCTTCCACGCGCCGACGTTTCGGGTTGGCACACCCGAGTCCAGGATCTCGCTGCTTCTCCGCTTTTCGACGCCAAGACCCTACATGACTGGTTACCAAGGCTTTCAACAACATTTCTTCCAGGCGAACCACGGTCTTGGCGTTGTCATCCTGCGCCCGCTTAAGACTATCAAACACGGCCCACGACACGGTCACCTCCTCGGTTGGGTTTCTGGATCCCTTGGGGGATGCACGGAAAGCGACCAGCGGGTCATCTTCCTCAACTTCCGCCGGCTTATCATTGCCCTCCTTGAAATTATTGGGTGCCCCGGATAGCACATGGTCGACGGTCTTGGTTTTGGCCTGGCCCTCATTGCTCTCTCCCTTGCTCGCCGTCTCTGCCGATTCGGATTCTTCGGCGTCAGAACTGTCGTGCGGTTGTGTCGCCTCTGTGGTCTCCAACCCCTCGGATTCCTCTGATATGAATACACCAACATAACATGAAACTGAGCGACAATTCACACACCGTCTCTCACACAACGAAACGAGGTATGCGGTTTTACATCAGCGACCAAACAACCGCAACAAACTAAACGCATAATAGAAAGAAACACCACATACCTTCTTCTTCCACAGAAGTAGCGACCTTCTTCAACCTTGGAAAGTTCAACTTCTTTGGGATATTAGAAACTCGGGGACCCCTTGTACCACGACCCCGAGGCACCACCAGTTGATAAGACGCCCGCAGATACGCTGGTGCCTTAGTCTCCCTCAGGGATCTCCCAGCCGTTTGGGTGTTTTGGGAGGCAATGGAGTTTTCCATATTGAAAACGTTAATGGCAGAAGTGAATGAAGAGCTACTACGGTAAGGACCTTATCTACATCCACGGTGTGCCAGTATCTAGTTTGCGAAATGCAGAAAACAGCTTTGGTATTCGGTAAACACACCGCCTTCACGATTTCCGCAATCCAAACCACCAATGATAACACGCTACGTCAGACGTCGTAGACAACCAACGAGAACTACCAACACTTAATCACAACCGTGCAAGATGGCGCGTTAACACTTATCATGTGCTCGTAACGGAAATCGCATACCACGTTGTTCAAGTCATATGCATTTACAGTTGCACAATAACACAGGACGGAGTGGTGTTGAAAAAAAAAACTTGCCCAAAATCCGCATGCAAACAGCAAAACAAAATCTAAACAAAACAAAATCGCTACTGCATTCAAAGAATTTGAGAAATATCCGGGTTTACAGCACCAGCAAATCCGCTAACCACCACTACTGAGATCCATCTTCATCACCACCCTCCTCACCAACGTACTCCTCATCCCCCTCATCACCCTCATACCCCTCATCCCCCTCTTCGTTCTCATCCTCCCCCCCATCATCCTCTTTGCCGCTGGCACCCTGGGACTCCCCTTCGTTCTCCACGAGTTCGATCGGCTCTGTTTGTCCGATTCCTGCAACATCACTCCCCGTCGCTTCAACATCCCCGCCACCAGCCACCTTGCCGTCCACTCTCCTCTTCTTGCCCCGTGTGTTAGCTGACGGGGCCTTCCTTTGGCGTCTCTTTTTGGAATCAAGTTCCTGCACCACTTGGCGCCACTTCTTCCACCGCCACCACATGCGCGCACCCACGAGCTTTACCACCGCATCCTTGTCGCAGCCCTCCAGCAACGCCTTGTGTGCATCTATCAGAGGGATGGTATTTACTATCTCCTCACCGTGTCGCAGCACATGAGCAGCTGCCACAAACGCCACAGCGGCCTCTTTGGGGGTCGTGTAAGCGCCAAGCCAATGCTGCCGCCGTTTATCCCCATCCCACAACAATATCTTTGCCCCCCACTTTCCAGTAGCCTTCTCGATGGTAACCATGGTGTAAGTCGCCGTCTCGAGGTCCTCGTCAACGCCTCCCTCTCCTGCTTTCACGCCCTGCGCAGCTGCCGCTTTGCTGGGTTGTCCGGCCTCGGTGCCCCATTGTGCACTGGGAATGCCTTGCACGGACGAGGTATGCTGACGAGATACCACCCAGTCTGGTATTGTACCGGGATGCGGAAGTGGTGCCGAGGACACAGGCATCTGCACTCCAACCCCCATGAACTTAGCAGCAAGCGACACCCGCGTATCTGTGCCATTAATGGCCTCGTCAGGACTCTCCTTACCGAGCCCGACGATTCCGGGATTGCGAAGAGGCGTAGTGTGCGCATGTTTTGTGCGTCTGCTCACCTTGGGCTTGAATGCGCTGCACCGCACCAGCTCGCACCTGCTCCGGTGTGTATCCCAACGCATGCGCCAAGAACGCCACTTCCGCTTCAAGTATGGCCATCTCGCGCTTCGACGAACGCTGTTCTGCATGCAGCTGCTCGAACCGTTCGGGACAGTCACCATGCTGAGGATGCGGGGGAGCACGGTCGCCAGTCAGTGAGGGCTACTCCTGCAACGAGATCTCGATGTTGTCTACTGCCAACCTTGGCAGAAGGGCGCCTGCTGCGTGCTCACAGATGTCCACGCGCATGCCGCGCCTGTACTTTAGCGAACTCACACCTTGGAACCAGAGGCCAGTGCATACGGTCCGGAAACTCGTTTCCACAAGGGTCTTAAGATAGTGGCAAACGAAAATGCCACAGTCGTGCGAGTTTGGCTGTTGTGGACAGTGCTCCTCCTGCACAAAACACAATACGACGCACATCCCATTACATTGATTTGGATTAAGAAGCTTAAAATACCAGCGGTCAATATGCTCAACAAAACTCACCCCCAGCACGATGCACTTGGCATCCAAGAGGACCTGGTTCACATGTGTGAAATCCGCCGTCGGATGGGTGTCTTGGGCCAACACGGAGACCACCCTGGCCAACGCAATTGCGGTAAATTAGGCAACCGTTGTAAAAAACAGGGTGCGCGGAGAGTTATACAAGCAACTTACAGTTTACATCTGCTGAAAATGGCAGTCGCGTCAGTTTGGGATAGTGCGCTGTCGTACAGCACCATGATGAGGCGGTTCTCATCCCCTGACGTCGCGGGCTCGAAGATCTTAGAGGGCTCACACACGATGACCAAGGAGTAGTGATTACTGCATTAGGAACACGACGGTACAGTCAAACATGGGTTTGGTCACTACTCAGACTACCTTCGTTGAGGGTGAATAACAATATTCGGGTGAGTGTCAGAATGTTATCTTATGCTCTAGCCTATAGTGGGGTGCTCTATAGCGAGTACAACCCTTCTAGGGTTTGCTATTTGTATCCCCATTCTTGCTACTGCAATCCTCTTCTCTCTTCTACATTCTCGTTCAACTTCTCACATGCTATCAGAGCAGGTTGATCCCCTTGGATCGATCCTGTGGGTGGGTTACCACCTCCTCGCTTCCGCTGCAACTACCTTTCACTACTCTCTGAGCCGCACGCCCCCTGGCGTGCGGCACTTTTTCTTCCCGCCGTGCGCCCCGAGGCACGCGGCGGTTTTCTGCCCGCCGTGCGCCCCGAGGCGCGCGGCGGTTCTCTGCCCGCTGTGCGCCCCGAGGCGCGCGGCGGGCTTCTGCCCCATCGTTCGCCGCGTCGCCCTCTGAAGGCGCCGCGACGGGCGACGGGGACCCGTCGCGGCGCACCGAGGGCACGCGCCTCGGCCCCGTTGCCCTACCTGCGCCCCGGCCCCGCCTGCGGCCCCGGCCCCGACGCCCTACCTGCGCCCCGGCCCCATCGCCCTACCTGCGCCCCGGCCCCGGCCCCGCCTGCGGCCCCTTTTCCCGTCGCCCGTCGCGGCTCCCTCGGGGACCGGGGGGAGGGGGGCGAGCGCCGCCCCTTCTGCTGCCTGTCTTGGCGCCCTGGGAGGCCGCGCGTCGGTTCCCCCCACCCCCCCCCCCCCCCCCCCCCCCCTCCCCTGTAACTTCCCTACCCGCCATCCCGCCCTGCCTGTGTTAGGGTTTGGGGAGTGGCGAGTAGGGGGTGGCGACTATGGGGGTGGCACTTCTGCATTCCTCCCTTTGCTCCTCCTCCTCCTTTGTCTCCCACTGCTGCAGCTGTTGCTGAGGGGGGTGGATGTGTGGGAGACTGGGGTTTAGGGTCTAAAGGGGGTGCGTGGGAGTGGAGCTAGCGGTGTAGCAGCGGGTGTGTGCCAGGGGGAGTGGGATAGTTTGGGGAAGCTGTATGGAGGTTGCCGTCGTGTCGCCAGCAGCACCTGTATTCCGGGGACTTCGTCCGGTAGCCCAGTCGTAGCCAGCTGTGCCAGCCGCCCGTGGGTCCGTTGCTCGTCTGCCGCTACTTTAGCCGCGGGGCCTGTTACCCCTGTATTCCGGGGACTTCGTCTGGTAGCCACTGTGCCAGTCTGCCTCCTGTTGCCCGTGTGTCTGCAGCTTCAGCCGTCGCCTCCTATCTCCTCTCCTCTCACTCTCTCTCCTCCTCCTCGCTTGCCCGTTGTGACTACCACTAGCTTTGCTCATAATCGTGCCCTTTAAACTATTGCTTCTTGAACTTGTGCTCAGAATGTGTGGTGACATTGTGATCCACCCTGAGCTTGTACTGCTTTGCTTCCTCTGCTGCTTACACCCCACTTTGGCTATGGGGGTGTGTCAGAATGTTATCTTATGCTCTAGCCTGTAGTGGGGTGCTCTATAGCGAGTACAACCCTTCTAGGGTTTGCTATTTGTATCCCCATTCTTGCTACTGCAATCCTCTTCTCTCTTCTACATTCTCGTTCAACTTCTCTCAGAGAGACCATACGAATCACAAACTTACTTCAGGAACGCTGGAATCGCCTGGAAGTCGTGCTCCAATAGCGGTAAGCCTTCTCCAGAAGCTAAAGCCTTGCCGTGAGCCCTGGTATATGTGAACGCCTTGGCGTCAAGTGCCGCCCATGTCTTCTGTCAGAACATTATAGCTTACTTATATGTGTAGGCTATAAGTGGGGTATCCCATAGGGGGTACAACCCAATTAGGGTTTCATATTTGTACTCACTTCATTCATAGTTCACTCATTCTCGTTCTTTCTTTCACATGGAATCAGAGCAGGTTCCCTCCTAGGGACTGCTTCTAGGGCCCACCGAAGCGCGCCCCGAAGCGCGTTTTCCTTTTTTTTGCGACCTGTTGTGTCGCCCCCAGCGGCCCGTCGCGCCGCCCTTCCCTTAGCGGCCCCGCCGCCCTTCGATCGCGGCTCCGCCGCCCTTCCTGAGCGGCCCCGCCGCCCTCTGCTAAGCGGCCCCGCCGCCCTTCGATCGCGGCCCCGCCGCCCTCTGCTAAGCGGCCCCGCCGCCCTTCGATCGCGGCCCCGCCGCCCTCTGCAAAGCGGCCCCGCCGCCCTTCGATCGCGGCCCCGCCGCCCTCTGCTAAGCGGCCCCGCCGCCTTTCGATCGCGGCCCCGCCGCCCTCTGCTAAGCGGCCCCACCGCCCTTCGATCGCGGCCCCGCCGCCCTCTGCTAAGCGGCCCCGCCGCCTTGCTCACGCGGCCCTGCCGCCCTCTGCTACGCGGCCTCGCCGCCGCGTCGCCCGTGCACCTGCCCTTGCACCCACCCGTGCACCTACCCGTGCGGCCGCCAGTGCAGCCGCCCGTGCCCAGCCTCCCGTGCAGCCGCGCGCGAGCCGTCCCAGCCGCCCGTGCGGCCGCCCGTGAGTCGCCCGCAAGACGCCCGCGCCGCCCGAGCCGCCCGAGCCGCCCGCGAGACGCCCGCGCCGCCCGAGCCGCCCGAGCCGCCCGTGCCGCCCCAGCCGCCCGAGGAGCCAATCTTCTGCTCCTGTGGGTCTCCTACTGCTCCTGGGCCGGCGCAGCTGCTGTGCTGCCGTGTTGCTGTGTCGCTGTGCTACCCGACTCTTCCTGCCCGGTGAGACTGTCAGCTGCTACAATGGCCACCCCCAGTGTCCTGACTTTTGACGCAGAGGGTCGCGCCATTGACTTTGCAGTCTGGATTGAGGACCTGCAGCTGTACTTACTGTGCGATGCGATCGATGAGGTTTCTCTCTTTGACTTTGTCTCTGGCGCTGTCCCTGCCCCTCCTGCTGATGCTAACCCCACTGTTCGCTCCAAGTGGGCCACACGCGATGCTGCTGCACGTCTTGCTGTGCGTTGCCTCCTCCCTTCCTCCGAGCGTGCACACTTTAGTCAGTGCAAGACCGCTCAGGCCTTGTACGACGCTGTAGTTGCGCGCTACTCCTCCCCTTCCACTGCTACACTGAGCCGCCTCATGCTACCGTACCTCTTCCTTGACCTTGCTGCCTTTTTCACAGTCACTGACCTCTTTACCCATCTTCGCGCTAGTGACACTCGCTACCGAGCTGCGCTTCCTGCTGCTAGTCACCCGTCTCCCTGAGTCCCTTCGTGCTGTTAGGGACAAGTTTCTCTCTATCTGTCCCACCACCCTCACTGTCGACCTCCTTAAGAAGTCCCTACTAGCGGACGAGAAGAGCATAGTCGCTGTAGGGGCCTCTCGTGGTGACCCGCGCACCCCCATCTTTGAGGGGTGTTCTCCTTCCCCCCTGCTACCCTCTGTCGCCTCTGCTGCTGCAGCCAACCTCGTTGGTTTAGAGCCGGTCGGTGCGGTGTCTGCCCCCAGCGATAGGCGCCGCTCTGGCAGGAGCAAGGGGGGCAAGGGAGTGGGTGGAGCTAGCGGGGGCGGTGGCGGAGGAGGTGGAGGCGGCAGGGTGAGTGGGGGTGGCGGTGGGGGTGGAGGCGGGGGTGGAGGTCCTGGTGGCGGCGGTGGAGGCGGAGGTGGCGGCGGAGGTGGTGGCGGAGGAAGCAGTGGGAGCGGCGGGGGCGAGGGTGGCGGTGGCGGCGGAGGCGGGGGTGGCGGTGGTGGAGGTGGTCGGAGTGGCTCTTCCCAGAGGAGCGGCACTGGGGGTGGTCAGCGCCCGCAGCAGCAGCAGCAGCAGCAGCAGCGCTCTCGCGACGTCCCCACCCCTCAACAGCTCCGTGAGTGGTACTCGCAGCGTCAGCGTGGTGGGGCGTTCGGTCCCTGCACCTACGTCCTTCGCACCGGCGACCGCGCGGGTGAGCAGTGTGGGGGCACCCACACCGCTGCTTTGCCCGCCTGACCGACGCTTGGCGCCAGCACTTTCCGGAGGCCTCTGAGATCCCCCGCTGGGGAGAGCTGTCTAGGGCTGGTGTAGCTCTGTTTGATCTTGACTTTGTTGCTATCCTTGCTGCCATGTATGCTGTGACTGTTAGTGATGATGGTGAGTGTTACCGGTGCTTTCCGCCCGACCCGGGCATTGGTACTGCTGCTCCAGGTGCCAGTGAGGCTGCTGCTCTAGGTGCCAGTGCGTCTGTGCTCTCAGGTGCTAGTGAGTCTGCCCTCTCAGGTACTACGTCGGCTTCTGCCTCCCACACCTTCACCCTTGA